TAATTAAGTAGAGCAATTACAGCTCTGTAATTATTCGTGCATCTGAAGTGTCATAGCTATTCAATAATGCAGGCTGCAACAATAACTATGGATCTAGGACGAGCAGAGCAAAACGAGGGGGGGGGAGGATATTTTCTTGGCTATATCGGATCGGATGAATCCTGCCAGAAGGAACCCTCCTCTCGAGATTCTGCAGCAGGACAGGGACGCAGAACCAACCCTTAGGAGTAGCTCCTTCTTCACCAAGAAGTAGCAATGGGAATACAGACAGACAGATGTATCTAGGGGCTATGTGAGTGTGTGTGTATGTGAGAGAGAAAGAGAGAGAGAGAGAGAAGAGCTGGGGCTTTACCATTTCAACTAGAGACACTCTCTGATTGCCGATTGGTGTGCCTCTTTCCCCTGTATTCTGTTTGTTTTATGTCTTTTTAGGGTATAAGATCTTCAGGGCATGGATCTTGTTTCTTATATGTTGTACAGATCCTAGCAAAAGGATCTGATGGTGGGGGGAGGGGGCATTACAACAATATAAATAGCAATAATAACAAATCAGCATGATCTTCTTTATGGATATTCTGCCCTCAAAGCATATCCCCAGTCCCTGTTTGTTTGCTAATTCTAGTGAAAATTAGCCAGACATTTGTCTGCAGCAGCTCGTTGCATGTGTCAAGATGAGATGTGACTTGTGATCAGGAAACCATGCTGCTGATGTTACGCCTCCTGCTCTGTACCGTGCTGTGACCCCCTTGATACTTGTGACTGCTTGAAGATGTGCCCGATTGCTTTTTTTTCCCCTACCGCTGTTGCTGCTGCAAAAGTGCCTCTTTTGTTGTGTGGAAAGATGACCTTACTCAACTGAGTAGACCTTCGTGTGGGTGAGGCAGTATCTTGTATTGGATCATCCTCTTCTGGTGAGAGAGACAAGCTTTCAGATCTCAAGAAGAGCTCTGTGCCGCTCAAAAGCTTGTCTCTTTCACCAACTGGAGTTGGTCCAGTAAAACATATTGGCTACGTCTACACTGGCCCCTTCTTTGGAATAGGCATGCTAATTTAGAACTTTGGAATAGGGAAATGCGCGGGGGATTTAAATATCCCCCTCGGGATTTAAATAAACAAGGCCGCCGCTTTTTTTCCGGCTTGGGGAAAAGCCAGAAAAGAGCGTCCAGACTGGCGCGATCCTCCGGAATAAAGCCCTATTCCGGAGGATCTCTTATTCCTACTTGAATAAGAGATCCTCCGGAATAGGGCTTTATTCCGGAGGATCGCGCCAGTCTGGACGCTCTTTTCCGGCTTTTCCCCAAGCCGGAAAAAAAGCGGCGGCCTTGTTTATTTAAATCCCGCGGGGGATATTTAAATCCCCCGCGCATTTCCCTATTCCAAAGTTCTAAATTAGCATGCCTATTCCGAAGAAGGGGCCAGTGTAGACGTAGCCAGCATGTCACTCACCTTGTCTCTCTAATACCCTGCAACTGACACTGTTACACCTACACTGCATAGACCTCAGTGAGCAGTTGCCATTAGAATACAACATAACAAATGTGATGCAAGCAGAGAGACTATCACAAACTCCCTGTTGATGCCCTACACTCTTGTCAGATCAAAGTAGATGATGAATAAGGAAAATATCAAAGTATATAGTAAACCTTTCAAAGGCAGGAAAATAAAGTCAGTTATAAACTGATAATAGGTACATCCTATGTAAATGTGACACATCAAACACTCATCTGGCATAGTATGTATCAGTAATGAAAGAGAAGTACATGGTTAATTGTAAATCAGTTTTGCTTTGATGTAAATAAAAAAGGTGAACTAATTTTTGCTTTATTGTTCAGAAGGAAGACTTCTAATAATAGCATATTCTTCCAAAAAATGCAGTCAAAATGGTTTCTGTCTCCCTTGGAAATACAAAGGGTTCACTCAACCAGTAAAGGAATCAAAATGTATCTCATTTGACCTCTCACTAGTGATAACCGATCAACCCAACTAAAAATTAAAAGAAATTTAAACATATATAGGCTGCAAAATGTACAATGAAAAAATCACAAAACTTTACCCATTTAAAAGTGTGAAACATTTTGCAAAAATGCCACAATTTTATAGATGTTATGCTATTGCAAAAGCAGGCAAAATTTAGTGACAAATGCTTTGCAGAGATTCCATTCAGCTATTCATTATGCAGTAGCTACAGCATCCAAATACATTGATTTTAAAAACATTACAAGCTAGTTCTATTGTGCTGGCTAACTGATGGCAAGATACTAGAGCAAATCTCGTTTTTGGGGACTGAATTAGTTAGGCCAAATAGTTTGCTGGTACAAATGGGTGAAAATCCAGTGATGTTATTTGAGCTAAGTCCTTTTATAGTCATAGATATTTAGCCTGTTGAGTAGACATCTTTGTTATGGCAGCTGAGAATTGAACCAAGCCCTCTGTGGTTTGTAGGCAGCAGCTGTATCATGATCCAAAAGTGAACCTTTTTCTGTCCCAGTTAGAGAATCTCTGCTAAATTTATCTCAGCTGGAAACTTCTCTTTGCAGATCTTTCAGTCTACATGAAAGAGCTGCAATACCTGTTGCTTTGCAGACTGATCATGAAGAAAGCTTTATATTGCAAATATTGGGTCTGATCCTTCTTCCCTTTGAAGTCAAAATAAAAAATCTCAGACCCTGAAGGTAGCAGTATCAGAACCATCATTAGTAACTTTCTCTTTTTGCAGCATCCAATTTAAAGGTTGAAGTCATAGTATTTGTATACATGTGCTTTGAAAATATTTTTGCACTGGTTTATACACATCCTCAGACGCCTTAATACAATTCATTTCTAACTCACACAATGTAGCTTTCCTCATTTTGGAGTCCAAGATTTTGTCCTATCCGCATTATAGATTAACTCGCTGAAACATCTTAGGTGCAAAAACTAATCTATTTTTGGTGTAGCCAGGTAAAGTAAAAATATTGCAGAACCTTGAGATTTTTCCTCCTTTTGCTGCAGCTCTATACATCAAAAACTGATTATGTTGTTTCTTTGCATGGTACTAGCAGTACCTCTGGCTCAAGGAGGCAATGTGTTTTCCTTTTTGCGTTTATGACCCTTTTCTATTTACTGTACGGGTTGTTTCTTTATCCCTTAATTCCTTGGCTGTTTCATTTTTGGTTCTCTCTGTATTTTGCCATTTGGAAATGTTAATGGTGTCAGGAGACCCTCCAAAAGTCAGAGGTTCAGTTCAGTTTGGATGAGTACCCATAATGTGGATCATCTGAAGCTTATCCAAATCAAGTCTATAATATTTAGCTGGAAATATCATGAGAAAATGTGTTCCTCTGAGATTTCCAGCTAAATTTTGCAGACTCAAGGGGTTTTTGATAAGCTTAGGATAATCCTCCAGACTATTAGGTGCTTATCTGGACAGAACCCAAATTCTTAATCTTTTGCAGTTTGTCCATAGCTGATTTTTACTCTGTTCTATCACTATAACCTAATGGGCTTTTTTACCACTCAAGCCACCTAGTTGAGACCAATTTAGAACATAAACAGTGCCATTCATCTATTAAATGCTAAAGGTCTTGATGGTTAGTCAGTATTAGCTTTGGAGGGAAAGTGGTCACAAATTACTCTCCTTTAACTTTTAGGGCTAGTCTGCACTTTACAGCACTGCTGCAGTACAGCTGCCTTCACTCCTACAGCACTTAGGGTGTGTCTAAACTACATGGCTCCATCAATGGAGCCATGTAGATTAGGCTGATCGGCAAAGGGAAATGAAGCCGTGATTGAAATAATCGCGGCTCCATTTAAATTTAAATGGCTGCTACGCAGAGCCAACAAACAGCTGATCAGCTGTTTGTCGGCTCAGCGCGCTAGTCTAGACACTCCCACGCCGACCTGAAAGCCCTTTATCGACCTCCCCGTTATGAGGTTTATCAGGGAGGTCGATAAAGGGCTTTCATGTTGGCAGGGGAGCGTCCAGACTAGCGCGCCGAGCCCACAAACAGCTGATCAGCTGTTTGTCGGCTCAGCACGGCAGCCATTTAAATTTAAATGAAGCTGCGATTATTTAAATTGCGGCTTCATTTCCCTTTGCCAAACAAACAAATCTACATGGCTCTGTTGATGGAGCCATGTAGTTTAGACATACCCTTAGTGACAACGCTACCTATGCAGCCTATACAGATGGGAGAGCTTCTCCCACTAGCGTAAGTAGTCCACCATCCCAAAAGACGATAGCTATGCTGGTGGGAGAAACCCTCTTGTAGACATAGCACTGTGAGCACTGGGGGAGAGGGAGAAGGGTGAGGTATGAGCCATGTCAATACAGTTATGCCAACATGAGTTGTTTGTATGGACAAAGTCTTCCTGAGAGTTTTGTTATCATTTCTAGTTTGTTTTCCTTCTACACAGCAGGGCTAAAGTTGATTTGAACTATACAACTTGAGCTATGTTAACTGTGTAGCTGAAGTTGAAATAGCTTAATTTGGCTTTTGGTGCTGTCTACACAGCAGGAAGTTGAAGGAAGAACACTCTTCCCTCAATTCCCTTATTCCTCGTGAAATGAGGGTTACAGGAGCCAGAGTAAGATTCCCGTTATTTTGAATTTATTTTGAAATAATAGTCTCGCTGTGTAGACACACTCTTTATTATTTTGGAATAACTAATGTTATTCCAAAATAATGCTTCTGTGTAGACATACCCTGAATGAGCTGTTTTTGTGACATCACTCACAAGGAACTATTTTGTGCGTCATTGTGCAATTTTAATACTTTCCTCTCTATGGTCCCTTTTAAAAGCACAAAAACTTAAAGAAGCCTTTTATTGGACTTTGATAATGACAGTCTCCAACTGGTATCATTTTTTCATCCAAAAGGCCAACAAGACTCAGAAATTATAATGATCATTTTGATAAGAACACATGATGAAAAATGCTTCTCCATCCACAAGATCAGCATTCACTGGCATTCTTTCTGTAAGCTTTAGGATTGAACAGACATGCACAGACAGTGACCTACCCGTTCACTCTAGAAGTAGTCACTCTAGAAGTAGTCCCTTAGATCAGTGTTCAAGCAAGCAGGTGGAAAGAAGAGAGAGGAGCTTGAACTGCTGCTGTTTACATTGTTCCTGATCTGTAGATAATAGAGAGATTCAGGAATGTTAATTTGCAGTTTTCCACAGCACTACATTGACTTTTATGTTAATCTTTGAATATATACAAAGGTTAAGGGCATTTAATATGAACTGTAATGGTTCTTAGCAAAATGGGTCACTACGAAAGATCAAAACAAAAATGTAAACACTTCACTTTATCAGTGCCATATAACTTAGACTTTGGAAGCTAGAGGCACAGAAGGCAAATAGGGGCAAAGAGAAGACCAACCAATGATGGCAACATTGCAATTTCTTTCTCACTCATGTCCAATGGTGAAATGGGGAAGAGCAGGAGTGGCCAGCCCATCAGAGTTGAAGAACCAGAATAGCGGTGAACAGAGTGTGAAGAGCCACATACCGGGGCAGAAAGTTGCAGAGCAAAAAAAAAAAAAAAAAAACAGACCAGTGTGCTGTCCCAGCAAGAGGGCTCCAGGCTGGACAGCTTGTGGCTGTGAGGGTGCAAGAATTTGGGCTGGGGTACATGAGGGGCTCAGGGCAGGGAAGCTGGGAGTATGATGGGCTCGGGACACAGATTTGTGATGTGTGGATGGTGCAGGAGTGTTGTGGCAGAAGACTGGGGGTATGAGGGTGCAGGAGTTTGGGGATGTGAGAGGCTCAGGACAGGGGGTTCCAGTTTCTGATAGGCTCAGGTTTGGGACCTGGGGAGGGGTGCAGGAGTGTTATGATGCTGCATTAGTCCGGGAGCCCACCTTGTCCGTGAATACAGAGGCAAAGAAAGCATTGAGTACTTCAGCTTTCCCCACATCATCTGTCCCTAGGTTACCTCCTTCATCCAGTAGGGGCCGCACACCCTCTCTGATCACCTTCTTCTTGTTAACATGCCTGTAGAAACCTTTCTTGTTATCCTTCACATCCTTAGCCAGTCGCAATTCCATTTGCACTTTTGCCTTCCTGATAACCGCCCGGCATTCTTGAGCTACACATTTAAACCCCTCCCTGGTCATTTGTCCAAGTTTCCTTTTTTGTAAGCTTTCTTTTCGTGCTTAAGTTCACCAAGGATTTCCCCTGTAAGCCAATCCGGTCTCTTACCATGTTTGCCTCTCTTGCTACGCGTCGGGATGGTTTCTTTCTGTGCCTTCAATGAGGCTTCTTTAAAATACTGCCAGCTGTCCTGGACTCCTTTCCCCTTCATGTTAGCATCCCAGGGGATTCTGCCCATCAGGTCTCTGAGGGAGTCAAAATCTGCTTTTTTGAAGTCCAAGGTGTGTATTTTACTACTCTCTTTTTTTCCTTTGTTCAGGATCCTGAAATCTACCATCTCATGATCACTGCTTCCCAGATTGTCACCCACCTCTACTTCCCTTATTAGTTCCTCCCTCTTTGTGAGCAGAAGGTCAAGCTGCGCACAGCCCCTGGTCAGATCCTTCAGCACTTGTGTCAAGAAGTTATCCCCAACATTCTCCAAAAACTTCCTGGATTGCCTGTGTACTGCCGTATTGGTTTCCCAACAGATGTCAGGGTGATTAAAGTCCCCCACGAGAACCAGGGCCTGCGATCTGGAAGCTTCTCTCAGTTGTCTGAAGAAAGCCTCATCTACCTCACCCACCTGATTCGGTGGCCTGTAGCAGACACCAACCACAACATCACTGCTGCTGTTTGCTCCTTTAAACTTAACCCATAGACTCTCAACAGGTTTTTCTCCCTCTTTATACTGGAATTCAGAGCAATCATAGTGTTCTCTTACATATAGTGCAACTCCTCCTCCTTTTCTCCCCTGCCTGTTCTTCTTGAACAGTCTATACCCTTCCATGACAGTGCGCCAGTCATGCGAGTCATCCCACCAAGTCTCTGTTATCCCAATTAAATCATATTTCTTGGACTGGGCCAGGGCCTCCAGTTCTTCCTGTTTATTTCCCAGGTTTCTTGCATTAGTGTACAAACACCTCAGATAATCAGTTGATCGCCCTATCCTCTCCATTCAAATCAGGGATCCTCCTTTCTTGCTCGTTCCTCTCTGCATTTCTTCCCGGTATCCGACTTTACCACTCCCCTCAGGGTTTTGGTCACTGTCCCCCGACGAACCTCGTTTAAAGCCCTCCTTACTAGGTTTGCAAGCCTGCCTGCAAAGATGCTCCTTCCTCTCTTCGTTAGGTGGCATATTTAACTAGCCAAATAGCCACATTGTTCAAGCCAACTAGCTCCACTCAGCCAGCCAAATAGCCACATGTGACTAGCAGCTTATGTGTTGGATACCATGGAAATATGGGCTTTACATTTCATAGCCCATTCACCTCTGAGCTTGCCACATCAGATATGAATGAGAGAAATTTGCCTGAGTCCCCGCACTTCTTTCATTATAAATTAAACACTGTGCTCTAGGCTTTGATTCAGCAAGGGAAGGGCAGTCTAGGGGCAAGGTCAAAGCAAACTCCAATAGACCAGATTTTTTGTGTGTCTGAAAGCTCCTGTACAGCAACGGCAGAAGCTGGAGTTGGCCCTTTGCTGCTTGGTTTTGGTAGAAGTTAGACCAGCGAAGGATGAGGTAGCCACAACTGGCCTCCTGTAGCTCCTGCTGCCCATTATGTCAGAATGCAGCTTAGCTGTAGTGGAGAATCGTGGCCATGGTCTACTTGTCAATAAGTGGCTCTTCCCAGATAGCCCCCGGTGACCTCAGGGAGACCCTGCAAGCAGCCTCAGTTTCAGGCCTCCTCAATAATTCACAAATGATTGTCCATTTCCATCCTTTCTTGGGGTTTGCTTTATTAATGTAACAACTGTTTACAACAAAGTTTATGGACAGCCATTTGGTCCCAGGCCTTTCCTGCCTGTCGTCTCACTCCCCAAGGTTCAGGTTTCTCCACCCACTCGCAGCAGCCTCTGCATTTCATTCAGTCCCCAGTCACTTTGCTGGAAGCTATTGTCCCCCCCAAACCTCAGTTCTCCAAAAGAACTCTCGACAGGGCCTGCAGCCTGGCGTCTTCCTGCTGCTCCCATCGAGGTGTGCCTCCATCATAATCAGGCTTGGCCCGCAAGGGGCAAGCCACCCTATGACTCTACTCCAGCTGTGTAACATGAGATGTTTTGCAATACCCACATTGCAGATTTAATGGTAGTCTACCTTCCATACTGGACAACACCCTCCACCCACCTGGTGAAAGAGCCCTTTGCTTCCCTTATGCAATGTGGAATTATTCTTATAATTCTCCTTCCTGTGTTAACATGCAAAAGATGGTGAGCGATTGATAATTCAGTGCTAATTACTGTAAGGGATTCTGATGATCTCATAAATCACAGACTAAAAATAGCAGATAAACTAAATCAGTAGTTCCCTAACCTTCTACTAAGGCACCCTCCTGTGACTCAGGGCCTCTTGATTCCAGTTGGCAGAGAGCACAGGGGGTGCATTAAGTTGGCAGGGTCCCCAGGTTGGCATCTGCATAATAATTTACCTCAGGCTGACATAAGCTGGGTAGAGAGCACAGCTATGATCATAATCATTAGAGAACGCGCGCACGGATAATATTTAACGAATTATGTACCTAACCTGATACTATGCTCTTAAATTCTTGAAGTTAAGGTAGGTCACTGGGAGATGACATACCTCAAGGACACACTTGTGTTAGATAGGAAGTAAATGACATTTATCTCTCTGTCTGGCCAATTTATGCATTGTGTGCTGCATGCCTCACACCATAGGCACTGATCGGGGCTGAGGTGTGCTCTCCCCCTCCCTTCTCTCTCCCACCCCTACTCCATCCTTCCTCCAAACCCCAACTCCAGCCCACCTCTTCCTGCCCCTGCTCTGCACCTGCCCCTGCCCCTGCTCCTGCCCCACTCTACCCCTTCCCCCAAGCTTCTTCCCCAAGCTTCTGCCCCTCTCCCACCTCCACTACACCCCTCCCCCAAGCTTCTGCCCCTCCCCCACTTCCACTCCACCCCTTCCCCATGCTTCTGCCCCTCCCCCACTTCCACTCCACCCCTTCCCCATGCTTCTGCCCCTCCCCCACTTCCACTCCACCCCTTCCCCCAAGCTTCTGCCCGTCTCCCACCCCCACTCCACCCCTTGCCCCAAGCTTCTGCCCCTTCTATCTCTTCCTGCCCTCACTCCACGCACGCCCTACTCTGCTCCTCCCCCACCTGCATGGAGCCTCTGAACACCATGGAACAACCGGTGGCAGGAGGTGCAGGGAGAGGGGAGTAGCAGCTCAGTGGGGCCACCGACAGGTGTGAGGTGTTAGGGTGGGGGGAAACAGAGAGGAGAGCTTGGCTGCCAGTGAGTGCTGAGCACCCATTATTTTTTCTCAGTGGGTGCTCGAGCACTGCAGCACCCAGGGAGTTGGTGCCTGTGCCTCACACTGTGTTCCCATTTGATACAGACCTGGGTGCAAATTGAGATACTCTGAAAACTGCCAAAGAGAAAATCTACAAGATGAAACAAACAATAGTGGGGTGTCTTGTTTATGAGTAAAGATTGGTCTGTTATATCTCGGAGTGCAAGAAGACACTCTAAAACCTTCATCTCGCAGGCAAACTGACATTGTGGCTGTCTCATGAAAGAAGGCTCAGAGCCTGTCTGGCTGTACAAAGCTGCAAGGATTTGGAGTGAACAATATTTTATCAGACTTTCGAGTATCTGGTTAATGAAATCTAGACTCTAGACTGTACGTTTCCATTTTACTTGTATGTAACAATTTGTGCCTGGTACCTCTGCTTGCTATCTGGAATCACTGTGCTTTGTGTGTGAAGTACATTCAGATTTGATTTTACTGTAAACAAACCTAATCGCTGTGCGTGAAGCGGAACGGTGATCTGAGGTGGGAGTGAAAAGCTGGGGTGTGCTGTTCCTTTGGAAATGGCTAACTGATAAACACGTGCATGGAGCCGCGTGCATGGAGTCCGCACTAACGGGGATTTAAAAATGGCGGCGCCCGGCAAGATGCAAATGAAGCCCGGGATATTTAAATCCCAGGCTTCATTTGCAACTTCGAATTACTACATTAACCACCTTAGTTCGAAC